AGAAAATATACATATCAATTAGCCCAAAAACCCTAGTTTATATACAAGAGCGAGTGGTCCGGATTGAAACTAACCTAACGGCTACCAAATCCCACTATGCTAATATTAATACGACATCATAGCTGTACACTTGGACCTCAAAACCTTAAATTATAGGGTGGTCTAAATATCTTATATTCAACACTCACTAATGTAGTGTTATCACTAGAATATTGTTCTTCTTATAAAATTATAGTAACTGTATGTTTTTAACTCTTTTTTGATTTTCTTATATATCTATATATGCATACCTTCCAAATTAGCTCTTAAGCATTTGTGACAATAATTAAGACAACACACCAAATTGTAGCGCATGTGGTTTTTACCCTTTATTTTATGGTGATTTACCATAGAATAACCACAAAGTGAAATCTAAACCCTCCATGTGCCGCGTGCCACATGCCACGTGTCCAAAGGACAATAGAGTGGAACCCAAGTTTCAAGGCTTTGGGCCATTGAACGAAGGTACAGAGCTAAACTCCCAAACATGGAGCCAAGGAGCAAAGGAACTTAAGCACAGAGCAACTTCTAGGTGTACAACCCAAGGAGGAAGGGATAGGAGCATAGAGCAACTTGGAATAGTCCTAGAGTATCTAGCATAGCGGCGTCTGGTGCTATTTCAGCATACCAATAGTTTAACGTGAGGATATAAATACTTCACCAGCTAGCATGGTGTGGAACTTGGGCTTAGACCCAAGCCAGACACAAAACAAAGATAGGCATGCAAGCAGGAGGTAAACTATGTTTCAAGTTGGTCAGCTATACTCAACCTACCCACTATCCCTACTATAATACATTTGGAACCCCCTTTGAGGAACACACACTTTGGGCTTTCACTCCAAGCCTCACTTAGTACTAGGAGTTAGTGTCTAGGACAAGTTTGAAACTTATTAAATATGGAATCTCCTTAGATTGTAAATTTGGACACAGGATGAACACCATTGTGTTCAGAACAGTCTCTACATTCCATAAATATGCCAAATAAGCAAATTTAAACACTTTCTATAAATATTATTTGGGACCAGAATGAGATTAACATAAAGGGCATGATAGCGAGGGTGTTTGGCAGATATGGTAAGCTATCATCTTGCGAATATTGAGGGACCAAGCTCAATATCACAACGGTTCCTAATACTAGCAAGTGTAAGTTAATGAATGAGTTTCTTTAACTAAGTCAAGTATGCTTGACTAATAGCACTTAGGAATTCTGTCCTTATGCTCATCTGGTCAAGTGCACATGCAAAAACCAGTTTCTCACCTAGCTTAGGCTTGGTTGACAAGTATTTTTCGTGACACAAACCCATACAACCATCTCTCTTGTTTAAATAAAGGTAGTATATGAGATATTGAAGATAATATACATCTACATCAAACATTTTTGCCATATATAGAGTAAAATCTTGAAAAAATTTCATATCACTTTTAGAGCATTAGAGGTACTCCAACTCTTCTACCAACATTATAAAGAAGGAATTCTTGTTTAGTTGCATTTGAGGTTGCAAATAGAGGAGCCTTGTAACAATTGTTATATGGAAGGAAAAACCACAAAATGAAAAGGATTATTATATTGAAGTGAAAGTGAATTATTGGTTGAATTTGGGGATGGAGGTGGAGACTTACATGAAAGCTTTCTGGGACTTGAAATAAACTTCTTTTGAACCATTCTAACACTCAAGAAGAATTAACAATAAAAATTATTTGATAACTATAATGTTGGTATTGATTAATATACTATATTTTAATCTTGGGAATGAGGTTTTATTATAATATAGACTAAACCTTAATTATAAGTCTTGATAGCAAGGTTACATATTAATTACAATCTATTGTTAAAGATAAGTGGCTTTAGGGTTCTAAAAGCTAAAGACTAGCACATAATAAATATGTAGCTTTATTTTAGCTTGCCATTATTTTAGTTTGCTAACTTTTTGTTTTAGATTATGAAAGTAAAAGAAACATTTTATTAATAGTGATAATGGTCTCTATATTCCCAGACAGATAATAAGAACCAAAAGTGTAATATAGAGATTGTGGTAATGAAACAAAATTAATATTCTCACATTTCTGTATGCTAAAATTAATAATAGATTTTTTGTATTCTTTGCTTTTTATCTCTATAAAAACCACATTGAATGAATGAAAAAAAAAAGTATTCTGAACTATCTATACATTTCTAGCCTAATGGTCAATTTTTGAATTAAATATTTAAATATTGAAAAATCAAAATATTAAAATCTTAAAATATACAATAGAAATTTTCAGCACCGTAGCTAATTTCAATATTCCCATATTTATTTGGATAAAAAAAAAGATCTTTATAACCAAAATATTATGAATGTATAATACTTTTATTTTATAAACTACTTATTAATTATTTTATTGTATAGCTTACATTAGAAAAAGAAATTTCTACCAACAAATAGATTCAAAATATAAATTTCTCCAAACCATTAATAATTAGATTCATGAATTTCATGTTTGCCAAGGAATAATATTTTTTTGATATGAAATTTATTTGTCAGATTTATAGTTGACTACATTGACTAACATTGATTTTAGCTGAGTTGAGCTGAACTCAATTTTGGACCATTCCCCTTTATATTACAGTTTTGGAGTTCCATAGAAAATTATTTTTAATATTACACAAAACATTTAGTGGGTAAAAACCACTTATGTAAAATAAAAATATTTAATAAATTAAATTGGGCAAAAGGATATTTAAAGAACTTATAAAAATACTTATAGACTTACACTAGAAAATAAATCTAAAGTATTGACATCTAAAAAACTATAAAGCATTACAATGTAAATTGATGTAGTAGCTACTTTCAATTATGACCCATTCAAAGATGCCAAAGAACTCTTAAGAATAGTAATGAAAATTAAATTAGTATAGAATACAATAAACAATCACATAGAAACACTTGCCTTTATAATTATATTTATAATAATAATGTTTTTAACCTATAACAAAGCTATGTAAAATAAAAACACTTGGATCTACATTATTTAATTGATACTATAGTTTTAAAAAATTTAAAATTGCTCTATAAGGTATATAAAATATATGGACTATGAGACATAAATCCCTAATCCCCAAAGTAGAGCCAAAAGGGTGCGACATGGTAGTGACGAAAGTGGAAACCAAACAAACGTAACACATTTAGATTAAAAACTCTGATTTAAAAAATCGAGAGCAAGAGTGGAACTTTTCATGAAATACTTGAGGAACAAGTACAAAACGATCAATAAGTAAGTCTATAGAAATGGGATATAAGCACTCTTACTCTCCTCATGAAATACTTGAGGAACAAGTACGAAACGATCAATAAGTGAGTCTCTAGAAATGGGATATAAAAGGATCAACACATAATATGTAGAAGTGTCAAAATTGTGCCCAAGATGGAGTCTGAGATGGAAATTTCATTAATAATTTAGGGTTTAATAGATGGAGTCTGAGATGGAAAATTTAATCGCTTACATGGACAATCTAATCATTGATTATTTTTTAGATACACTACTCATTTCTTTCTCTCAAAGTATAAGCTTTATATCATAAATACTCAAAACTATCCATTACCATGCATAACTAATAACTTGCATTAAGGTACTATCAACAACTACTCCCCATCAAAGGGTATAAACATCAACAAGTAAATTTTCGGCAATTACTTTAGAAGGTAGTTTACTGCTATTCAAAAGACTATATAGCTATCAATGCTTGAAAATGGTTCTCATCTTTAATCTTTATCTAATATGTATAACATGAAGTAAAAATATAATATATGCATTGTGTGTTCCTTGAATATAGATGGTAGCAAATTCTAGAATTGTATGCAATTAAAATTGTAACTTTTCCAAAACAGATATATAATAGAAAACATATTATCACTTAGATTTACTATCTTTCTCACCCTTTTAGTATTCAATTTAAATTTATTAATTTATATTAATATACATAAAATTGTGTTGATTTGTTTTTTAAATAAAAAATTACAAGTATTTAATAATAAGTTAACAAGTTATTATCTGATACTTTTGTTTAATTTATTGATTAAGTTTTACTATTTATTTATTTGGCATATTTCTGTTGTAAATGAAAGAATATCACCTTCAAGCCATGCATTAACATTAAATTTTCTAGATGTGACATAGCTATCAGGATTATTTGGTAAAGGTGGTATAATTTCAACCCATTCTGGATACCATCCAGGCTTACCACCAGAATTATCGTGTGATAAAGTCATTTTACAAATTACATCAGGTTCCTCCAAACATTCTGCTTCTAAATCTGAAAATGTTGAAAGTGTACATCTTTCAAAATCATCTCTATTTTTGTTATCAAGATTCTTAAATTCAAGAATTTTTCCAAAGTATGTAATAAATGTTACTTTTATATTTGCATCAGTTCCAGCACCGTCTACACATGCTGTTTTAATATTTATACCATATAAACACTGCATAAAAGAAATTTAGAAAATTAGAAAAGCATTAATTGCATTTTAAATTACCCCAATTATGCTTGGTATAAAAGAAATTAACAGGAATATAGTGATGAATGAGACCATCTTCTTATTCTCAACTTGAACTTGATCAGCTTTTATAGTAAACCTATGCTGCTGTTGCTTCTGTTGCTGCTGCTTTCCGACAAATGAAACTCTAGATTGACCTATGGCAGTAATTTAAGTATCTTTGTGCTTCTAAGCTCCTTGCTTGGCAGCATTGTTTAGCGCCAAACGTGAGTTGGACAGCAGACAATGATCTGGAATCCGCCAGAATTCGTGTGGAATCCGCCAGAATTCGTGTGCCACTGCCAGCCTTGTGACGTTCACCGGCTAATCTTGCTATGGTAGGTGGAGTGGAAAGCCAAGCAACGCTTGTAGTTCTCGAGCTCGCTCGCTCACCCGCTTCAATCAAATCGTGCACCGAGGACCGAGGACGCATTTAGATGACTAGTTGTTTTTTCTTTTCCCAAGAAAAGTTGTGAAGTTGGATCAAGCAAAACTTGCAGCGATCAATCTACCTGGGATGAATTTAGCTTGGCCTTCTTCTTTGCCTCGAGAGCTGCAATCACACTCTCCAGCGCCGGCGTCTCGTGGTTCCTGTTTTGGATCAGCAGCTCGGCGATCTCTGCCGGAGTCACTTGCACCTCCCCGATGAGCTCCTCGATCCTCGGAAACAGGCGATGGTCCTCCACGTCCAAGTGCGTCCTCGCGAGAACTTTGAAAGCCGGGAAGGCGCAGTAAGACAGGCAGATGTGCATGTCCATCCTCCCGGATCGAATGAGCGCCGGATCGAGCTGGTCGATGTGGTTCGTTGTAAAGATTAAGATCCTCTCGCTTCCGGTGGAAGACCACAAGCCATCGGTGAAGTTGAGAAGCCCAGACAGCGTAACTTTGCTCTTCTTCTCGTCTTCTTCAGCATCATCGTCGTCATCATCATCGCTCTCGCCACCATCTTTCTTCTTCTTCTTCTCGCCCTCCTCCCCGGGACGCTTCTTGAGATCCAGCGAGCAGTCGATGTCCTCGATCACCACGATCGCCTTGTTGCTGATGGCGGTGAGGTACTTCCTCAGATTCGAGTTGTTCTTCACGTCAGTGAGCTCCAGATCGTAGATGTCATACCCGGTGAAGTGAGCTATGGCGGCGATGAGCGACGACTTCCCAGTTCCTGGCGGCCCATGGAGAAGATAGCCTCGCTTCCACGCCCTTCCAATCTTCCGGAAGTAAGCCTCGCCGCCCATGAAGCTGCGGAGATCGTCCATGATCTGCTGCTTGAGCTCGGGATCCATAGCCATGCTCTCGAAAGTTGCAGGATGATCGAATGGAACCGACATCCACGGCCGCTTCCGGTACTCCCAGCCGCTAAAGTTCGTGAAGAGCTTCCTCTTGCGGTTCCTGTGCTGGACCTCCTCGGCGTTCTTGACGACGTGCTCCAGATAGCTCGGGAGGATCGACTGCGCGAGCTTCGTGTCCACCTCCAGCGTGTAAGATCGCCGCGTGCTCCAGCGCCGCGACTCGCTGTTCTCGATCACGCGTCGCGTCCACCAGAAGGAGACGCCGCGAAAGCTCTCCCGGACGCTCTCGCCACTCGCGAGCGCGAAGCTGGGCTTGGCGGAGTTCTTGACGCGGACGAGATCGAGGCGGCGGGTGGAGGCTGTCCGGGCGGAGGCGGAGGTGAGCTCCGCGACGTGGAGGTGGACGAGATCATACATCTCGTTGGGCGAGGAGCCGGCCCACTCGTGGACGTCAATGCGGGTCTTGCTCGTCCAGAAGAGGAAGTAGAGGCGCGGGAGGAAGGAGATGGCGGCCTCGCGGAGGAAATCGCGTACCTCGCGTGGAAGGATGCCGCGGAGAAAGGCGACGAGGCCGATGAGCGAGCCGATGTAAGCGACGATGCTATCCCCGGATCCCCATACTCCTCCGCCCATCTCGTGGCGGCGATCGATCACTCACCCATGGACGCCGCTTCGCTCGATCGCTCGATCCACACACTCGACTGGACGGGGGCTTTTCATATATATTCCCGGTTTGTTACTTACGGGCCAAGTAAAACGGATTTTCGTTGGCCGTCAACGTCAAAGCCTTTGGCGGTCAAACGTGTGTCACGCGCTTAAACGCAAGTTCCGTCCAATTCGTGGATGGTTCTAGCAAAATACTTACAACTTGGTTATTGATCTTTCGACTCACCATGAAGCACATATACTGAGGAAAAAAAAAATTGTGCTACCAATGCCAAGAACAAGGAAATCCCAAGAACAAAAAGAGAGAAAAGCGAAGGTGAGAGCTAAGAAGTAATATAGTCGTGCCGTGTCAAATTCGAGAAGCCAAATCTTGAGATACCAACGCTATGTAATCCTGTGGCAATGTAAAGCTTAGATCAACAAAGATTGAAGAGAAGAGAAGAAGGAACTTACGTCCGCTATGCCGTTCGCTAGTTCTACGAGCTCGCCTTCACTAAGAGAAACGCCAGCGTTGTCTGCGGCGGCCTCCGCAACACTCCTCGCCACCTCCTCAGCAGACTCACCTCTCTCGAGCTTCTCCAGAGAAGAATCGGTGGAGTTCTACAAAAAACCAAGCACTCAAAATCGATCAATCACTCAGTCACGTCGTGTAAAAGATATCTACCTGAGCCTTGGTCACATTAGAATCGTTTTCTTGAGCATCAGTTGCCTCAGGTACCTGTTTGAGCAGAAGAACGATCAGGGAAGAAATAAAAAATCTTACTTCCGGATTGGCAGGCTGCTGCTGCTGATGCTGGATGACGCTTCTCAGCATCGGCTGCATTATACTCCCGATATCCACATTCTGCGAGCCAGCACCGCCTTCTCCCAAAGTTTGCATCATCTGCTGTGCAAGGTTGCCAAACGCAGGAGTCCTGATAATGTTCCCGATGAGGCTTGCAAAGTTGTTCTCGTTGAGCGACGGTGACGTCGGTGGTGGCGACCTTGAATCAGTTCTAGCAGCAGGATCACTCTGACTTGAGCTCTCCGTCCGCCTTCTAGGCTGTACAAGAATTTACTGAGTGAACAGAAAGAGATTGAAACATACCACTAGCGGACGCAAGCGGCCCAAACCCAAGCCAGCCGGAGGATTTAAGCTAGGCTGGGGAGCAGTCGGAGTAGAGGTGTTAGGAGCTGTTTGGTCGACTGACCTGTTGATTGCATCACGAGAATCTGTCGATGGCTGCAATAGCACAAAGTTAGCAACAAGCTTCCAAGTTTTAAAGTTAGCTCAGTACTTGTGAGGGCGGCTGAAATGGGATTGAAGAAGTCTCGCTTGGAGATGGTTGAGGTGCTGGAACACTAGCAGGCTGCTGAGGCATGGAGACTTGTGCTTGCGCTGCAAGAGAGATAAAACAAGTTAAAACGCTTCAGTTTTAAACCAAACCAATGCAGATTACCCAGAGTAGTGGTGGGAGGAGCTGGTCCTTGTGGAAAAACTTGCGAGCTAAACGGAGCTGGTACCTGAAAATTTCCTGTTTGGAAACCAGCAAGTTGGCCGAGTGTAGCTCCCAGCATCGACGTCAAAGGATTGGATCCCATGCCCATCGCGGAGCCATTAAACTGCTGTGGATGCTGTGGAGCTCTTAAGTTTGCAAGCCCTCCAGGCCAGAGCTGGTTTAGCGCCTGTGAAACCTGTGCCATTTGTGCCGTTGGGGCAGCTTGCATAGGCACACTGGAATTAGCACCAACTGTACCTTCGTTGTCGGCTGGTGAAGCTCCAGGGCTTAAGTTCCTGGAGCGAGACGATAGCACCCGAGCGTCACCGTTATCCTGGATAACCATGATCGTCTCTTGTACCACAGCACTGGGAATGCCCTGCGAGTTGTCATCTCCAACGTTTTCTTGGCCAGCACCATCTAAAACGCCCGCTGGTATTCCAGTCATAGGAACCTGTGGTTGCTGTGGTAATCCTCCCTCTTCGGTAGAAGGCGCGGCCGGAGCATTCGTTGAAGGTACTCCGGTATCACTCGTATGAATGTGGATGTTCAGGCTTCTTGGTCCTTGAGCACCTGGCCACCCCGGAGGAAACGGTGATCTTGCAGGGAAAGTACCTATCGGTTGAAAAGGCATCGGCTGCAAAATCAGTATGCACTCAGCCACAAATAAAGGTACAAATCACGAGCTTACCTGAACCATCATCTGATTTGGTCCAGTAGGAGAAACGAAAACTGCCGGACCAGAATTTACAAAGGCTTCAGCCTGTAGAAACCATGTGAAAGGTGCTCAGCGGAAGTAGCAAAGAATGAAATCTAGATGCTTACAGGCGTGGATCCCATATGCAAAGTCATGGTAGTCCTGCCAAGTTCCATCAGTAGAGCCCCAAGCTGCTGCATAATCGTCCCACTCCAAGCAGCAGCAGCTTGGACCTCTCCACGCATATTGACGTCGGCCAGTGTCACTTCGTTCTCAAGTTGTCCAGCCAATGCCTTAACAATTCAGGTTACTACGGAGTCAAAAAAATGGAGAGAACTTACAGCAAGAAGCACCGCAGCCTGACCAGCAAGTAGCGACTGCGTACGACGAATGATTCCACCCAGCGCTGCCGGACTGAAAAGCGGTCTATTCACTGCAGGAGGACTCCTTTGCCCATTTGCAGAAGGTTCACCGAGAGCAGGAGGAGAAGTCTGGCTTGAGCTTTGGTTCTGAGTCTGGGGCTGGTTTGATGGCGGATTCGGAGTCTGGTTCGGAGTCTGGTCCGGAGTCTGGTTCGAAGGCTGGTTCGAAGGCTGGTTTGAAGGCTGAGCACTCGCAAGTCCTGTGAAACATGCCAATTTTTTGGAAGCTTGGAGCCAAAAAAGAAAGAAAGAAACACACTCACCAAACATTTGTTCCATGCGACTGAGATAAATTGCCATTGTTGTCAGTGCATCAGGCGAAACCTGAAACCCCTGGTTTCCTCCAAAGGAAAGGCCCAGGCGCGGGGCCGTAAGAGGTGTACCTTGTTGCAAGTCGGCCGGACCCATGGGAACGTTTGATCCTGGAAGGTTTCCAACAGAGCCAAGAACAGCCGAAACAATCTGTCACCATTATACAGTAAGCCAAGAACAAAAACAGAAAACTAGCGGAGGAACTCACTCTATTAAAATCAGGAATCCCTCCATCCCCGACAGTCGGAACATTGATAGTTCCAACGACGAGACTGTGAGTGACTCCCCGGCCTTGCTGGTTCGGATCCGCTTGTCCTTGCGCACTCGCTTGATCGGCTAAAGAAACTTAAGTCGTTTAGTCTCACGTTTTCCGAAAGTTCTACTCACCTTGAGCTTGAGTTTCACCGGACTGTGGTTGCGGCCTTGCCACCAAATGCAACGTATGCCCGTCTTCAACGTCTGGCCATCATCGCTAAGAAGATCAAAAAGAGTTCGCAGAAACAAAGACAAGGAACATACTGTAAGCCGATAGAAGTTGATCGTCTTTCAGCACTCTCCCGCGGCAAATCAGCCTTTGGTCCTGCGCTGGAATTCCCACCAGTTCCTGGAGTTGCTCTTTCAAGGCAGGCACAGATATCTACGAGAGAGAGAGAGAGAGAGAGAGAAAAAACCGTGAACATCCTCCTTGTTCTTCCAATTCAAAACCATTTTAAAGACACTTACATCCTTGTTTACTCGAACAGTGTGGCTCGCCGAGTCCAATGTCCTGATCCTGATCTCGACGGTGGAAGAATTGCTCGATCCCGATCCAGATGAGCTCTCAGCTTCTCCCTCGTTTGCTCCGCTGCTCATTGTAGGCACTGCTGATAAGAAGGAAAAGGAAAAAATCCATATCTTTCCACCATTCGCGAGCTTAGCAAAGCGCCTACCAGGGACGCTGTGCCGGTGACCCAGAATGGATGCCGCAGTGGAGAGCGCCTTGGTCGAAAAAAAACAATGCACTGTTCTTCTTCGTCTAGGGCAAGTGAAAAATTAGGTCTGGGATTATTATGTAGGTTAAATCAGATCAAAGCCACGTGGCAGTTCTCTTAAACCCCGGGGTTTAGGATCGACGGTGGGCGGCATTGGGCGGGAAAATTCAAACAGGTTAGGGTTCTTGGATCCGAGCTATGGCCGACGAGCCGGAATGGCTCCAGGCGAAGGCGCCGGCGGTCGTCACGTACCGGCGACGCAAGAGGTATGCGCCGCGGCTTTGTTCATTCCTAGATTCGAGACGGGCGGATGGATTTTCAGGAAACCGGCATTCGATGAGGAGAAGTCGGATGGCTCCGACGGGGAATCCGACGTCTTGAGGCCGCTGGCGCCGTGCCAGAGCTCGAAGAATGCCGCGCTGCCGCAGCCAAAGCGGCAGCGCGGCGGCGGCGGGCAATACTTCCTGGATTTCGGGCAGTCGGATTTCTCCCAGAGCGCATGCAAGGTCTGCGGCCTCGTCTACGCGCGAGGCCAAGAGAACGACACCAAGGTTCACGAGATCTTCCACAGAAACTTCCTTCGCGGGATCCAGTTCAAGGTGAATCGATCGATGCCTGATCTCGCTTCTTACATTCTCTCGGTTCTTGCAGGGCTGGCGAAACGAGAGAGTCGCCGCTCGATTCGAGGATAGAAGCAGTCGAGTCATTGTAGTTCTTCCGCAAGATCCCGCCCAACACCGCACAAAGGTATCGATTCCCTATGCTCGTGAAGTAGTCCGCTAAAACTCCATAACCAGGTGAAAGAGGTCGCCACAACCATGGAGAAAGAGATGGGCCTTCCTCCAGACTGGTTGCTAAACACCCAATACAAGGTACCTTGGAAATGAAAGGCCTCTTTTTCTCTCGTTTCTCTCATAGCGAAGCTGTCTTGCAGGTTTACCTCTATGTTGAATCGAAGAGAGTACTCGGCTGTGCCGTTGCCGAGGCGATCGACGAAGCATTCGTTGCCAGAGTCGAGAGAGATCACTGCGATAAGGGGAAAGGTACGTAAGAACAAGCTGCAAACAAGTTTCTCACGCATGGCTCTTTTGTTCTACAAATCAGCCGCGAGTGTGAAGAAGGAGATGGTGTTTGGCAACATCAAGTTCGTCAGAGAGGTCCAGCGCAAGATCAAAACCAGCAGCAGCAGCAGCAGCGCGGATCTAAACAAGTCGATCTCGTATGACAACAACACTCCGGTGGCGGCCGCGTGTGGCATCCGGGGACTGTGGGTGATGCATTCCTTCCGGAGAAAAGGAATAGCGTCTCGTCTCCTCGATACGATCAGGTAAGCTCACGCACGTAACTCCTCTCGGCCGGAGCTCATTCTGCTTGGTGTTTCTTGCCAGGGACGATTTTGCCTTTGGATCCCAGATAAAGCTTGACAAGCTCGCCTTCTCACAGCCGACTGGAGACGGCATAGCATTCGCGTCCAGCTATCTCGACACGGATAGACTTCTCATATATACTTAGCGTTGCAAAGAGATGCAAGCGTCGATTTTGTCCGCTCGAATCATCTGTATAATCCATCGCCGGGAGAGTTTCGATCGTCTTTCCTCGGAATATGAACAAGCGTTCATGAGAAATAAAAGACAACGAACCATTTTATCTGCTCATGAAGGCGCTTGTGGATACACGAGCCTGTCTCGTCCAGAAACTAGCGTGGCCGACTCAATGACGTCGCCGGTTTTTAGCTGGGATAGAAGTTCACGTCCTTTGGTTGCATATCTGAAAAACCATGGATTGATTCGAGGCAGATGGAGATGAGACAAAGCTTACCCGAAAACTGCGAATTGGCCTTCTTCAAAGGAAAGTCCACCAAGCCCAGCCTGAGGTGATATAAAAGCTTAAAACTTCGTCTATTGTAAGACAAAGAAAGTGGAAACTTACGCTTCGCCTATCATATAAGTAGAAGAAAAACTGAGATGCGGATGACAAATCTTCCGCGCTAGGGTCGTGTGCCATTGCCACAGCGCCGTATACAGACAGTGGAAGTACTGGCAGCTCGCCATCCTGAAAGAGAGAGTTGTCATTCATATATCTCTTTGAATGTGTGACTACTCACCTGGATATTCAAAGTTGTTTTGTACAGTGGCTGGAATTCCCCGGATGGCAAGATCTCCATTGGAAGGGCGTCCTGCTGAGCGCTATCCGATAGTATCGCTTGTTCAGTTGTCCTGAGCTTGACTCCGTTGTAAAAGCCTTTTAAAACCTGGGAAGAAAACTTTAGTGACTGATAAAACCTAGATGCAGGAACCTTATCGGCGAAATTTCCAGCAGTGATGGGTGCAGAAAAACCATCAAGAACAACCTGCCAGTTTGAAACATCTCAAGAAATTTTCATAGCAATGTCAAGGAAATGAACGCAATTACCTGAATTGTTCCCTGCGGTTGAGGTCCTTGACCGGCTGCAACGGTGAAGGCCGTGTTATCACCTTTCTTCACAACCATTTCAACCAATGCTCGACCAGTAAGCCTATAGTATCAAACAAGGGGTGTTAACGAAGAATTTCCACAGGATTAAACCTTGTGAAACCTGGGCAACTGTTGGTATTGTGCTGGAAGTAGATATGGAAGAGCTGGGGCCTGTTTCAGAAACCTTGGCACATAAGAAGTGAATGAACAGCGTTATCGAAAACGATCTACCTTAGATTTTTACCTGCAAAAGCTCAATCTGAGCTATAACATCCAGGGACGAAGCAAGTCTTATTGAGACCTTGTCAGCATCTTGCTTCCCAATGCTCCCAAGCAAGGCTGGCAATCCTGCCTGAAGTAACACATTCACAAAACGAAGAAAAAGGATATGGAGAACATACTACCTTCTCATCAACTAGTGTATCGTAGAGCTCTTGTCCCGTCGCCCTCTTCTCCTCAGGTATTGAAGATATGATAGTGTCTTTGCCATCCATAACTATCTGAAAGAAAACTCTCAAGACGAAGTGTATCGACAACTCGTTCGTACCTTGAGAGCTTTCTTAACATCCGATTCCATGCTACCGTATGGCTTCCTTTGTGGGATCCTGAGGAGATAGAAAATGTTTTCCAAAGGTTCCTATGAAGAACAAAAAGTTCCAATGGAACATTGAGAGATTTTGGAGAAATATACCTGAATGGCTTTCATGGTGGGTGTGATCACAGGAATAGCTCGGCGCAGCGCTACCTCTGCAGTGCGTGGCACTTTGGTATCTGGAGAGTAGAGAATCGCATTTGCCACCGGCAAATTCCAGTCGCTAAACGGTGCTGCCACCTGCATTGCTGCGAAAATTGCTATGGCGGCCTTCTTCCAGCTCTGTGGCTCAAATAAGGGTGAATTCGCAGCGCGTGGTGGATCTTGGAGATGTAGATGCATCGATTCCTCGCCCGCCTGGAAAGAAATCGCTCGAAATCCTTGATATTTGCACGTATTGAACTTACGGCAGCTGACCGGATCGTCGAAATCCTTGGCGCCGAGACCGGCGAGAGTGACAATCCATTCCGCGGCCTGGCGCTCACCGCCGATGCTCCCACACAAACCCTAGCGCTACCGCAATGCGGCATAGCTTCGTTGTAAGCTCGCTAGAAAGCCTTATCCCAATGGAAAGATATTTGAATTTCTAGATTCGAACCGCGGATTTCGACAAACCCTAACCCCGTGTTCTTGGATCGAAGCCGCTCATCGCGCTGGAGCAGTGGCGCCCAAGCGGCGCCATTCCAAATTCCTGGTAGGCTGACGAATTCCTTGCTACATTCCCTCGCTACTCACGCAAACGCGATTTAGCTGCATTTCTAGATCGATCAATCGATCGAAAGAAGAGTTAGATCGTTCAATTGATCTATCGAGAGCACAGAGAAGAAATGGAGATGGCTCGGGCGAGGCGCCGGCTGGAGGCGATGCTCCAGGCCTACGTCGACACGTCACAGTAAGCATTCAAATAATCTTCCTAGAACAACTAAACTGTGTGGAAAGAAACGAGAATTTTTCAGTGTGGCTGAGGAAAATAGATCCAAAGAACACCATTCAGTGATCCTTCTTCAGGTAGATCATACTCTCCATTTTTTCTCATTCCGGTTTTCTTCTTTCCTTCATTCTTACGCTTGCGAGCAGCTGGAACTTAATGTTTCAGTTCCTCAATAACAGTGTGCTTGGAGACGAAGAAGAGTCTACAAGCTTATCAAGAGATGGAACACTTCTGCTACAAACATCCAAAGAGTTTACCGCGGCCACCTTGGGCGAGAGAGATTCTATGCCATCGGTCGTGCCCGTGACACCAAGCTCCGTGTCGCGTACTTCAACCACAAGGCCACGACGATCCAGAGGATCTTTCGCGGGTTTTACAGCAGGAAATACGTCCACAGCTACTACGCAAGGAAAGAGTTCCTGCTCGACGCGATGGCACGAAACTGCGAGGTGAAGACCGACATCTTTGCGAACTTCAAGCAGCAGTGGGACGCCCGGATCAACAAGGTGGCGACGAAAACCCGCGAGGAGATTGAAAAGTTCTTTAAGTCCAGTCACTACTTCGTAAGTTCTCTGGAAGCTTTTTTGGTTCCTTTTGTTTCTAAGTCTCTTCTCTTTTGTTCTTGCAGCTGGGGACTGAGGCCGAAGAAGGCATGTACTACTCCCACTACCTCAAAGTTTTGGGAGAACCAAACATTATCGAGGAGAAGATCAAGGAAACGAGGAAGGCGATGAATTGCGTGGAAGAAGTGAAGCGCTTGAAGCGTCGGCCGGGGCGACCGCCTCTGTGGAGATCAAAGTACTACATCACTAGCGTCGGGCCATACTTCACTCGATTCGACGTGAAGAAGCAGGAGGAGAAAGAGGCGAGAGAGAACCGGCTGTTCCAGCAGGACTTCATCGTCTACGCGAGGCAGCAGGACAAGATTGATATGTTCAAGGGACCGACGATCCGGGTCCAGACCGACTACGAGCACGGCAAAGTTAAAGATCAAAAGAGATGGACGAAGATCTCGGACAAGCCATTCATGGTGTGCGTTCCACGGCGGCGCCGATTCTCCTGTGGTGGTTTGTAGTCTTTGGATTTCTATAGAATGGAAAATACACTTGTTCTTAACTAAGTTTTAATGACTTTTCTTTGGCACTGATATTAGGGTTTAGACCGGAAAAAGACTTTTCTTCCTTCTCTTTTATTTTTATAAAAGAAATCAGACGGCTAGAAATTTGACAATATTTTTCTTTCAGCAAAATATTTATCTTCTTAAATTACAGTGGACGGCTTGGATTAATTCAAACATCTTATCTGACGTTCAAGATTGGCAATCTGGTTCCTGACCGTTGTCTGCAGACACGATCCCGATGTTCCATCTGCGACGTCTACTCTTAATATCTGACGGCCGCGCTCGCGCCACGCTGGGCAGAGGTTTTTCTTTGACCTCCTCCCTCGAGTGTCTAGGGTTTGCTTTCTTCGTTGCGGTCCCGGGGAAGGGTCCGACAAGTGCGGGAGGGTTTGGGTGCTCGCCCTGGATCGGCGCCATTCTTCCTCTGCTAGATCGGCACTCAGGTGTGATCTATGGCGCGCCACATTCTCCAAGGTAATGACGATTTGGTTTCGTGTCAGCTGGCTCGGCGCAATCTAGGTAGATGGATGCGATCAGGAAACAGGCTAGCAAATTTCGGGAGCAAGTCGCCAAACAGCAACAGGCTCGTTTCCATCCAGGATTGGGAGATTTGCTCACGATTTGGATTGGTGGTTCGCAGGCGGTATTCAAACAATTCTCGCAAGGATATGGCGGCTCTCAAGGGACCGACATTGTGACGAACGAGGCGGAGCAGCAGAGGCATCAGCAGCTGGAAAGATTATTTATATCTACACGCGCTGGCAAGGTATTGAGTTGTCGTTTGTTGCAACGAAGGGAATTCTTTCGATTTCATACTCTTATGATACTGATAGCTTTGTTGCTTTGTGTGCTGATGTGTAGCATTTCCAAAGAGAAATAGTGCGTGGAACTGAAGGACTGATCTCTACTGGATCCAAGCAGCTTGATGTTTGTAAGTGTTTCTTGTGAAAAAAATTCCAAATTGTGAGAGAGAAAAGCTTATGGTTTTTTGAACAGCCACCAAGCTTGCGGAGGATTGCCGAAAGTATGCCGCTGAAGGACCAGCTCCGAATGGGGCCCTTGCAAAGTCGGCTACGTACTTTGGAAATGCTCGACTCAATATTGAGAAGGAGAGAGATAGCATGCATCGAGCACTTGGTACTCAGGTAAGAAGACATTGTTTGTGATAAGTTTTAACAAGTCTTGTAGGTTGCTGAGCCTTTGAGAGCGATGGTGATGGGAGCACCTTTGGAAGACGCGCGGCACTTGGCACAACGCTATGATCGTCTGCGCCAGGAGGCTGAAGCGCAGGTTTGGTCGGTTGTGTTCCTGCTTCTTTTTTTCTCTTGGTACCAAAGGTGTTAATGATCAGGCCCAGGAGGTTACTCGAAGAAGGTCGAAAGAGACCGGCCTCAATGCAGACAACGCCTTGAAACTGCAAATGGCCGAATCGAAACTGACAGAGCTTATGGCAGCAATGACAGAGCTGGGAAAAGAAGCCGCTGCGGCGATGACTGCTGTTGAAGCTCAACAGCAGCGTCTCACATTGCAACGTCTCATTGCCATGGTAAGCATCAGTCACTGGTAATTAAAGTCCCACAGTTTTTTTCGTTTCTTTTGCCAGGTAGAAGCCGAGCGAGCTTATCATCAGCGCGTGACTGATATCCTTGACAAGCTTCACACCCAGGCAAGTTGCGACGTTCGCTTCACCGGAAACACAGGGCTGAGATATAATTGTTCTCCAGATGGTTGCAGAACGGTTACAGGGAGAGTCGGGCGCGTCACAACAGCTAGAGCACTCCACGTCCCCTCCTCCATACGAGGAAGTAAAAGAGAATGGTGGCTACTCCAATGTTTACCAATCCAACTCCGACCGAAAGTCATCGTTTTTCCTGGCCGAGGTACTGGGCTCTTTTTAAAGTTATAGCTGTGCTCTAAAACGCGCTGTCCAGGTGATGCATCCTTTTGAGGCGGAATCCGAGGGAGAGCTTACGATAGCTGTTGGTGATTACGTCGTTGTTCGCCAGGTAATCTAGATGCGTTTCATGGCTCCTAGTTTTCTCACACGATTCGATCTAACTTCCAGGTTTCTACGACGGGATGGTCCGAGGGGGAGTGCCGAGGCAAAGCCGGATGGTTTCCTTCGGCCTACGTCGAGCGTCGGCAGCGTGTTCCGGCGAGCAAGGTAAGTAACGATCGATCTTCTCCTTGACACTCGTTTCTTTCGAATGGAATAATAAAAGCTTGGAGGAACTTCCAGGTCCAACCGTGCTTGTGCCCCATGTAGGCCTTCTCGAGGGATCGATAACTTTGAGTTTGGGAGAGCTTTTCTCGCGTGATAATCTCTTGGAAGAGTGAGTACTCGGTTGTACACTGGTGCGCTTTAGCTTTTTTTCTTCTTCCTTCTCCTCCCCCTTGTATTTACATATCTAATTGATTGTTTTGATGGTACAGACAGACTTAAGAGATGATACTTCTGTGGTTACAAAAATTATAGCAGAGAAAAAAAGCATACAATGTACACAAAGCCATAGCACGAATTATGCGCGGCCGCGAAAGAGACATAAGAAACTTTGCCACGAGAGAGATAAATATCGCCTGCCGTGAGACCAGAAGAACGCATTTAAAAAAGGAGTTACGAACCAAGGAGCGATGAGGATCTTCTAGCACGGACAAAAGAACGCCCGCTCTCTCTCTCGTAGATCTATCAGTTGGACCAAACGTGGACAAGCCCCTGCCTGTTACCAGTGTAAATCTCGTTCCTCTCCTCGTCGTAGAACAACGCCGTCACGTCCTCGAGTGCCTCACGGACCGAGCCTCGGATGTTGGACGAGTTTGCGTGACACCGCGGGCTCACTTTGACGCTGGGATCGTCGGCGCGGATCTTTGCCAGGCACTTCCCGGTCAGGATATTGCTGATGTTGATCGAGCCTACTGCGAAAATGGAGCAGTCAGTACCACAGAGAAGAAAGAAACGATTAGAGAAACGAGAGATTGTGGTTACCTGTCTCTTCGTCGCATCCCTGGGCCTTGCAGTAGGAGATGATGAGGTCCTGCTCGCTGGTGATGTAGATGTTGTTTGTGTTGCAGTCCGGGTACCACAAGAGGTGGTCCTCGAAGGAAGTGACCAGCTCGCCGCGGAAGTTCCACACGGCGACAGTGCGGTTGCGAAACGTGAGGAACAACTGGTTCTCGTACAGAAAGATGAAGGCCGACGGTGTCATAAATTCGGTCCTGCTCACTTCCGTCAGTTGGGCGTTCCGTACCTGCGCGAACAAACCAAAAGCCGTCAGCTACAGGGATAAACGCTTTGCTTTTACTTACGTCAAGGATTTGGAGGTTCTCGTTCTCCTGTTTCACTAGCAGCTTCTCGTTAAATTGCTCGATGAAGTCGAGCTTCTTGTTGCGGTGGAGGAGATGGTTAAACGCCTTTAGGACGGAACCATCTTCGATGGACAAGATTTTAAGAGGAACATGGCTCGCCGCTCTGTCAAATATGAGCAGCATAATGCCAGGACTGTGACCAGGAAAAAGAAAACGTCTTAAAGGGGTTCAAAAAATCATAACTTCAACGCGTTACCTTATCTTAATCTCTTGGACATGCTCGTCAGATATAGAGTACAGCATGGTGTAGTTTTTGAGATCAAAAACTTTGTAAATCCTGCAAGGAGAAAAGAAAGAATCTCAGTAGTGATTAAATGGTGCCGGAAAAGTGAGATGAGCATACCGATCCTGTGCGGAATACGTTAGCACCTTTCCGTTCACGTCGTCGAACTCCACGAAGCCGGGCCAACGCAATGATTCTGTTTCGAACAAAGGAAATCCAGCGTCAGGCTGTCCTCTTCTAATATATCTGCGAAAAGTTAACACAAACTAGTAAAATAAAAGATGAAAGCATGGAAAGTTTTACTCGATGGGTGTTGTCCTGCATTTTAGTGAGCTGAAATTGTCAGATGCGTATACTGAAACAGTGATGAGCGAGTCGTTGTTTTTGTTATAGAAAAGGCTTCTGATGACTTCGTCGGAGCTGATATTGAGAAAACAGATCTTCTTATTTGTTTCTAAAACCCCAAACGAAACAAAAAGAAAAGATTATATTTGCCATGGAAATGTGAACGGATATGACTGCCTACCTCTGCTGAAAGCAGCACAAATGCCCGAATGCGCCAAAGCAAAAACGATGTCACGGGCAGCAACGATCTCCACGATCTTGGACCTCTTCTTTAAGAATGGAAGTTTCAAGCATCTGTGCGCTTTGGGATCGTGGGTATCAAACTCTTCCTATTGCGAACCCCAAAGAAAAATAAAAAATGCAGCTGAGATAGAAAGTATCTAATCCATACCTGGAGCTGGAAGTTTCGAAACTTCTCCTGGGAGCTTGTCCGATTGAACGCCCAGTTGCCCGCGCGGCTGATCTCTCGCCTCATGAGCTTTCGGACACTGTTGCCGCAGTAATCGTCAGGGCGTGGCCGCTTGCCCGCTTGGATGCGCCGGCCGGACGAGGGTCTGGGGCTCACTTGCAGCTTCTTGGAATCCATGCCTCCCCACAATCCCTAACCAAAGCACCAAACCCTCGCGGCGAGACCTCGAGCGCCAGCGGCAGGAGTAGCGCCTTCAGCCCTGCATTGTCATCGCGCAAAGGAATCGTCCCCCCAGAGCGCTAGCGCCGGAGAATCGAAGAACCGAGGAGAAAGAAGGCGCAACGCGCACTATTACCCTGCCCTAAACTCAAAAAACAACTGCAACAAGGTAAAAAACTTAGATCAAACAAATACAAACTGGGCCGTTGGATGCAACCTAGTCGAACGGCCCAGATCGCGAAATTCAAACGTCCGGCCGCCGGCGTTTTTTGAATTTCACGATTTGATCTTGTCCAAGTGATGCATGGTTCGAATCCTTTCCCGTGAGGGTCTAAGTAGTGGACGGTTCGAATCCTTTCCCGTGAGGGTCTAAGTAGTGCACGGTTCGACTCCTTTCCCGTGAGGGTCCAAGTGGTGCATGGTTCGAATCTATTTGGGGCCGCAGCTATGGCGGCACTGCGACGATGGAGGCAGCACGCTGGATCGCTCCGAAATCCCTTCGCGGTAACGCAGATCACAGTGCCGCTGACGCCGCCCGAGGGATTCTATCGGGCCGACTGGGATTATCGCGGCCAGCGGCAGATCGTGCCCCTGGCTATGGCTGTGCCATACATCGCGCCCGATGCCTGGGTCGCGCCGAATGCCACGCTCATCGGGAACGTCAAGGTGGAGGACAAGTGCACGGTGTGGTATGGGACGGTGCTACGAGGCGATCTTAACAAAATCCAAATGGGATTTTGCTCGCATATCTTCGACCGCTGTGTTCTTCACGTCGCCTCCGAGTCCCCAGTTGGTACGTATTACTATCTTTTCATTGTTTCGTCCATGGTTAGAATGTAGATCGCAGTGAACGGTTTCGTGAATTATTTATTTTTGGTGGTGCTTGCTTTCGCTTGATTGACATAGTTCTTCTCTTGCTGTGATTCTTTTTGTTTTTGGCGTTCCACGGTTTGTTCTAAACTTAAAACTCTTTCCAGCATAACTCTGGATTTGCTATAGTTTTGCATCCATTCTCTCTTGCTGCTGCGATTTATCCGATGGTACTGAAAAGTTTGTCCATCCCAGACTTGTCTCTCTGTTTGTTGCTTTTATCATTCTGTGCTTCACGTTTGTGAAACTTCCATCCATCATTTCGCAACTCTTTTCTCCTTTTCTACATTCCTCCTTGTTTGTTCTTGTCGTTTCTCTTGCTCCTATGATTTTTTTGCTTTTGGCATTTCAGCTTTTCGACCATCTAAACGTTTTCTCGCTTACACTCTTTCCAGCATTACTTTACGAGTTTTCCGATGATAGTCCATCCCAGATGTTTTTTTCTGGGAAACTTTCGCAACTCGTTCCTCTTTGCTACATTCCTCCTTGTTTGTTCTTTGCTTTTCTTTGAGCAACTTATCTCTTTTCTTTCTTTTCTTGTGTGTTGTTTTTCGTCCATGGTTTCCGAGAATGTAGATTGCAGTGTATGGTTTTATGAATTTTTTCGGTGGTGTCTTGCTTTTTTTATTCCTTAGAAAGACCTTGTTTTCAAATTTGCTATGATTCTTTTTGGTTTTTGGCATTCCACCTTTCCGAGTGAAGTTTCGTCTAAACGTTTCTCGCTTAGACTCTTTTTAGCATAACTTTGCATTTGCTAATTCATTCTCTCTTGCTGCTACGATTTATGTGATGGTACAGCCCATCCCAGCATTGTTTGTTTTATTTTTATCATTCTGTGCTTCATGAAACTGTTTCGCAATTCTTTTATCATTTGCTACATTCCTCCTTGTTTGTTCTTTGCTTTTCTTTGAGCAACTTATCTTTGTGTGCTTTTCCTTCTCCAGGACTTCCACCGCATCTCATCATCAGCCACTACGTAACAATCGGTCCCTACTGCACACTTCGGTCGTGCATCATCGAGCGCGAATGCATCATAGGCGAGCGCTGCGTCGTCATGGAAGGCTCCGTCGTGGAGACCCACAGCATTCTGGAGCCCGGCTCGGTGGTTCCTCCCGGACGCCGGATCCCAACGGGAGAGGTCTGGGCCGGCAATCCAGCGAAGTTCGTGAGAATGGTAACTTTCGACGAGACCAAGGCGTTCGTCGGCTTCGCCGAAGGCATCCGGAGCTACGCGCAGCAATACTTTCGGGAGTTTCTTCCTTACTCCACTGCCTACTTGGAGCTCGAGAAGATAATGAAGAATGGAGGCGTCACTCTAAGCGTAAGTGGTCTCGAGTTCCATTTCTTTTCCGGACTAACAGGTCTATTGGATTTTACAGCACTGAGATCGTCCCAAACTTTCCAAGCTTCGGGGTTCCAAATTTTCGTGAAGTTGGAGAAGTTTCGAAGTTCCAAATTTTCGTGAAGTTAGGAAGGTTTCGAAGTGAATAAGGAGATAGACAATGACGACATCCCTCTCTTTCGTTTCTTCCAATTTGATACCTTGTTTAGTCTTTATTATCTATCCTGTGCTCATTGGTGTGCTCAGAGACGATCGATGAGTCTTGTGATTGTTGCTAGGACTTCCTCTTGCAATCTTCAAGTGCACACCATTTAGATTTGCGTATCCAAGCTTGCGACGGCAACTCACCTAGCTGGTGAAACTAGCGTAAGAAGCTGAAGAACATAGTACCGGACGTAGAAATGCTCCTCCTCCTGAAGACATTTGATAAGATAGTTCCCATTCTTACCATACCAGCAAGCTTGAAAGCAACGCAACGATGTTCTTCTCTCTTGCAAGAAGTTCACAGTTCACAAGACCAGGAGAAAGCTGCCCGTGATCATCTTGAGTCGCGTTGCTTAAAGCAGTAACGAGCGTTTCCAGCGCTCCTTGGACCTTGATTCATTATGTAAGTCAACCAAACTCGGTAGAAAAAAATTACGCTCGCTCATCACCAGGTCTATGGCGTCAGGATATGAAGCTGGAATGCGAGGTCAGCAAGATGTAGACGGCTGAAAAGCTCACGTAATAAACGTTTGCAGGTGATCTGGAATGAAGCCCTTGTGCTTTGACAGGTGGGACCTTTGATGTATTTGAGCTTTCGTTTCTGCTTGCTTTTTTTTTTACAGGAGATCCAAAAG